GGCTCTGGTGAATTCTCTCACCTTCCCGCGCTTCTGACCGTACCCAGTGCTTGTATAAATAAATAAAAATCTTAAAAAAAAAAAAAAAAGAAAATATATTACATCCAAGGTGAGTTTTCAGATATAAGGAGGAAAAGAATCTTAAAATGGCCAGTCTGTGGAGGAGAGAGATTGGTAAACAAGTAATTAAAACTCAAAGCAGAAAAAGATAGGGCTGATAAGAAACATAAGCAGTTTTCTATGGATGTGAAAAGGAGGAGCAATTATATATGACCTTGAGGATAAGAATTGTTCAAATCTCTCCAGGTATGAGGGAATTTATTACTAATGCCCCATTGACTAAGAAAAAAATAGAAGTTACAAATGTTGTGTGATTCTTAAAATTGTTTTTCTTCCTGCATTATTGGTTCATTGTCTATATCAAAGCTTCCCTTTTAAAGTGATCATTGTAGCTAATAACAGCAATTGTTAGTCCTTGTTACATAGATGGTAAAAATAAGACTCAGAGGAATTAAATAAGAACATAGCAGATTGGTCTCCAATAGAATTAAACTCTCTTTTCATTATATGAAATGAATTTTATAGGGAACTGTTACAGGGCAGGGAGGGGGCACCCCAAACTCTGCAAACCTGCCTGCTCTAAATAGGTTCTGCCATCCGCTGCATCAACACAAAACATATGAGACTTTAATGGGAAGTAACTTTAATACAATTAGGAAACAATACAGGAAAGGCAAAGAGTATAGTTTCTAAATCAAGCACCCAAGTTACCCGTCCCCTCGTGGGTAAAAGTCCAGCCAAGCAGGATTGGCCCAGAACAAGGCCCCAAAACCTGTCACAAGTCTAAAGCCTCTTCCAGTGGGGACCCACAGAAAAGGATCAGAAACAACCAGACAAGTCTGGAAGGAAAAGAGCAAAATCAAAATCAAGACAAAACCCACCATTGTCACCTTCCCACGGGTCTCTCACCCACATCTGTGTCAACCAGTCCATGACCAAGAGGCAAGTGTAGTTTCTTCACGTGTCTCTCGGCTCCATGTGCCTCCTCCAGATCTCTTTCTGGCTCCCCGTCCTGCTTCCTTCCTTCCTCAGTCTCCTCTGCAGCCCCTTCTCTACCTGCTCAGCTCCACCCTCCTTTTGGGTGGGACAGGAAATCTGGAAACTCTCCCTTTCCTGGGGACCACCCTGTTAACAGAACTACTGGCCAAATCTTTATTTAAGTATACTCCTGGTTTTGTTTTCTACTAAAACAGGAAGCTAAATGCCAGTATTTAACCTGAATGAACTCATAGGCCCCCAGATTCAGTAACTTTTATTTACTCCAGGAGACTCATTTACTTCATTGTCAAAGTGACCCAGCAATCAGTTAGGTCCTTGGAGACATAAAAACTCTTTCAATTGAAGAACAATAAAATCTGTGATGTTGGTAAGAACAATGCAGGTCTCTAAAGCTGTGTTTGCATGGCTGTCCTAAAATGGGTAAAAAGTGAAAAGTGTTTCAGTAGTTGTTCTTAGCCCTCAAATTGAATTTCAGCACTGGGAAATCCAGACCGACATTATTTTGTATATGTTCCACTTTTTTGCCCCTAAGACTGGGGTAATCAGTCATCTTCAGGCGGTCAAACCAGTTTGATGGGTACCCCTCCCACTGGCTTCAGTGGAAAACTGAAGTTTCAGACGCTGGCTTCAGAACTTAGTGCTCATTGGCTGCGATTGATCGACAGATGTGCCTCCCTGAGAAAAAGAAAATACTTAGCAAGCTTCACAGTAAGATTTTGTAAACAAATGAAAGCTATGTTAACATAGTATCGGTAATCTCTCTAGTTTCCATGAAACAGTAAGAATCCGGCAGAAAGAGATCACAGTAGACAATTCACAATTCACAGAACAGAATTTTGGAGGAGGTGGAGGTGAAGAGGGGAGGAGGTGTGGCTGCTGCAGCTTTAGTCCCACACTATTCTGACCCTAACTTTTCATAAAATAGCACACAGGCAGGAGCACTGAAGAATTTTCAGTGCAAAAAAGTGACCAAAGTGTAAGTGAGAGCGTAGTTCACTACCAAGGACTGCAGAATTATTCTTTGTTGACACAGGAGCAGAGGATCTGATAAGGGGAAACCTAGTGCAGCAGGCAGTCTGTGCGCAGTGAAAGAGCATAGGGGAGGGTGTCAGGCCATCGGGGTGTTGTGTCAGGCAGGATAGAATTCATTAATGCCTCTTCCTAGGTGCTTCATGAACTTTGGTTAGCCTTCTCTCATTTCATTGTCTACAAAAAAGTGGCTCACTTCTGTCTGAGCAGACAGAAGTTCATATGAATTTGTTGTGCTTAGTCCTAGGTTCTTTTTGATATAGTTTAACAGAGTGGTACTGTTAATGTCATTTGAAAGAACTGTATCTGAGATTCTAATTCTGGAAAATAAAAACAGTGAAATTGTTTTGCTTCATGGATTTCTAATGAACCCAGTGATCAAAGAATAACCAGTTGTCAAGAGTTACCCCTCTTGGTCCCAGAACCTAATGGAATTTGTGACTGAATCAAAGATTGTATGGGTGTCCTAAATGCTAACCAGACTAGCTGGTAAATAGAACAGAAATAGCTAATTTGATCAAACAAGCTTCTATAAATTATTTTCAAAAGTTAAAAAGTAACATTATTTAGTGATATATGCTTATAATTATTAAAATAATGGCTTACACTTATTAAGCACTAATTTCTTTTGGGGTACCATGCTAGCATTTTATGAATGGGTACTATTCAAGGGTGATTTTATAGATAAGAAACTGAAATTCCAATAATTTTTCACTATTTCTTTAGAACACATAGGCAGTAAGTCATGGAAGTAGAAAAAGCAGATGTCTTATGTACAAAAGCCTATGCTCCTAACTAGTAAACAGTTTTATGTTATGATCTAGCCAATAGTGAATTAACATTAGTGATTAAGGTTAGATTTAAAAGACTATTTCTGGGCCTCCCTGGTGGCGCAGCGGTTGAGCTCTGGGTTGTGAAGCTGCCAGCAGCCTCTGCAGCGCCGGTTCGATCCTCGGCTGCTCCCTGGCCACCAGGCGAGGGTCCCACATGGCATGGCAGACCTCTCCTGCCACCCGCTGCTCCGCTCAGCAGTGTACTTTGGTCCTTCTGCCTGCTCTGCTCCCCGCTCTGGCTCTGGTGAATTCTCTCACCCTCCCGCGCTTCTGACTGTACCCAGTGCTTGTATAAATAATAAATAAATCTTTAAAAAAAAAAAAAAGACTATTTCTAAGTGAAAAAAGCAGACTACAAGCATTGTGTTTAATGTGATCTCAGTTTTGTAATACATATTTATTATCCTTGTGTTGTAAATATGGGTGTAATTTTTTCTTTCATTTTCAAACTTTGCTACATTTTCCACTTTTTTTCAGTCAGCATGCATTGCTTGAGTAATTATGTAAGCCCCTTCAGTGTTATTTAAAGTAGAGGTGAGAAATATAGTAAGAGGATTAACAAATATACCATTATCAGTTTTGTGACAGGTAACAAAAATTTTGTGGGTAAAGAAGGTTGGGGAGAATTCCACAAAGGCAAGCACTTTCTCAGGTGCAGCCTCTAGTGCTGATATGTTTCATAAGTTTCCACTAGCTGATATCATTAACCATGGTGGTGAGTGAGCACAGTCATATTCTGGTCATTTCCTCCTTGAACTGCTTTCCTTCCTTGGCTTCTGAGACGCCCCACTCCCATTTTTCAGCTGCTTCTTTGTCTCCTTCCTCAATCTCCTTTGCTACTTCCTTATCTTCTCCTGACCTCCTTTTACCTTTCATAGCCCAAGGCTTGGCATTAGTTTTCTTCTTTACCATCAATCTTGGGGTGGGGTGGGGAGGGAGTTAAATGACTTTAGGAGCCAGGCTGGTAAGTAGTGAAGCAAGTCCTTGATTTCAAGGGCAACTTTCTTCCAGCCCAACTTTCTTCATCTCCACTGCAAAACCACCAATTCAAAAATCTAGAAGCCATCTTTCATCCCTCCCGTATCCTCATTGTTTGTCACCCCCTTACATTCAATGCATTAGCAAATTCTCTTGGTTTTACTTTCAAAATATATCTTGAGTCCTTTTGTTTCCCTTTCAACCTCCATCTTGCTTAGGCGACTTAAGGGTTATCCTAAATGATCTCCTTGCCTTGTTCTTGATGGCCACAATCCATTCTTCATGTACTATCAATTATACTAATTTCTATATTTGGCCTTGAAAATTCAGAAGAGGCACTGGTCTTCATTTTTCCTATTGAAAAGGTAAGATTTATCAAGCTTGTCTGAATCATCACAATTTTGAATAATTTAATAGTACTAAAAAATTCACCTTAGTTTTTAGCAGTGAAATATTTAGGAACTTAAAAACTTAAAGAAAAAAAACAACAAACCTGAGCAGGCACTTCATAAAAAAAATGTTACAAAACAACAAAGAGGAAAAAAGGAAATAAAAAAAAAAGTGGTCAAGAAAAAAAATTTAAAGGAAAGAACAAAATGTATTTGCTCAGTTGTTGTTCTCACCTTGTGTGCCACCACCTTGATTAACAATGGTTAAGGGAGAACTGAAAAAAAGAAAGAAAGAAAGAAAGAAAGAAAATTGCTTTGTATTCTTATTTCTCATCCATCCATCCATACAGAACAAAACCGAAAGGCTGAAATAAATGAGTATTTCAGTTTAGGGGCGGTTTCTCAAACTTGTTTTCATTTAAGTTAGTCCTGTCTCATTGTTCCAGAGCCTCAACTCAGTAGTTCATTTTTTTTTTTTTCTGCTTTCTAAGCTTCTATGACTATGACTCATGGAACCAGAAGTACATCAGTACTGCTATGTGTTAGTTTCTATATTAGATTTTTCTCAACTGTTTAAAATGACATAAGCAAATTACATTTTGTTTTCCTAAAGTTTAAACACAAAGTTAAACCAATAACCTCTCATTAAAAGCAGTTGGGTTTAGCAGAAGAACAGAATTTCTAATTTTGCTGTGCAACATAAAATAGTTACCTCCAGGTATTTCTTCTGTAGTTACTGATCGTAAACTTCCAATAATCTCATTTAGAGCCTGGCTATTAATGTACATTTTCCTAAATAGTAGTTTTTTGTTTACTAACCACATTTTGCTTTAGAAATAACTTTTCAAGTTGACACTCTTCTTGTGTGTTGCTTTTAGCAGTTATGGATGGCTTCAGACTGCTGTGTTTTAACACCTTGTGCCACCAGGGAGGCCTGCAATTTTTTTTTTTTTTAGATTTATTTATGCATACAAGAACTGGGGTACAAGCCAGAGATGCAGGGGGTAAGAGGAATCACCACAGACAGAGTGGGGAACAGAACAGGCAGACTGAAATACACCTCTGAGGGCAGCAGTGGGCGAGACAGGAGAGGTCTGCTGCAACATGTGGGTAGCTCCCTGGCCAGCTGGTGATTGAATCTGTGCTTCAGAGGCTGCAGACAGCTTCACAGTGCTATGCTTAACCCCTTGAGCCACCAGGGAGTTCCCCCGCAATTTTTTTTTTAAATTGAGATATAATTGACATAGAATTGTGTAAGTGTATAGTGTGTTGATGATATATTTATATTTGCAGTATGATTTCATCTGTAGTGTTAACTAACACCTCTATCATGTTACTTAACTTTGATGAGAACAATTAGGATCTAGTCTCTTAGTAATAGTGACGTTTATAATACAGTAATGTTGACTGTAATCACTATGCTGTGCATTAGATCTCCAGGACTTATTATCCACTAATTGGAAGCATGTCTTCTTAAACATCTCCCCAACTCCCCCTTCCCTGTCTGTTTTTATGAGTTTGTCTTTTTCAGATTCCACATATAAATATTATCATTCAGTATTTGTCTTACTCTGACATCTTACTCAATCTAATGCCCCAAGGTCCATCTCTGATTTTGCAAATGGTGGGATCGCTTCCTTTGTCATGGCTATGTAATCTTTTATTACCAAATCTTCTTTATCTATTTGCCCATTTATGGACACTTACCATATCCTGATAATTGTGAATAACTTTGCAACAAACATGGGAGTGCAGGTATTGCTTTGATATCCTATTTCCATTTCCTTTGGTTATATCCCCAGAAGTGGAATTGATAGTTCTATTGTTAATTTTTGGGAGAACCTCCATACTGTTATCTATAGTGGCTGAACCAATTTATATTACCACTAACGGTATACAAGGGTTCCTTCTCTACCTACCCTTGCCAATACTTGCTAGCTCTTCATAGTTTCCACGTGATATCTCATTGTAATTTTGATTTGCATTTGCCTGATGATTAGTGATGATATCTTTTCATGTAGCTTATGGCCATTTGGATATTTTCTCTGGAACAAATCTCTATTTCCTCTACTCATTTTTTGATTGTATTTTTTTTTTTTTTGGTTATTGGACTGTGTGAGTTCTTTATATGTGTTGGTTATTAACTTTTTAGCAGATATGCAATTTGCAAAGATTTTCTCCCATTTCACAGACTGCCTTTTACTTTTGTTGTTTCTTTTGCTGTGCAGCAGCTTTTTAGTTTGATGCAGTCCCATTGACTGATTTTTGTGTCTGTTGCTTGTTACATTGCCAAGACTAGTGAAAAGGAGTTCCTACCTTATGTTTTTTCCCAGTATCAGGTCTTATGTTTAAATCTTTATTCTACTTTGAATTAATTTTTGTGAGTTGTATAAGACAGAGGTCCAATTTCACTTTTCTGCATGTGGTTGTTGTTTTCTGGTGGCAACACATTTTCCTAGGTCTGTACCACACCGGTTTCTTAGAACTGTGTGGCACATACAATAACATCAATCTTCCAAATATGTTTCAATTCAAGTGTGTTTAACTGCTAAAGAATATCAAACGTCCATAGCTGATCACTAAGAATAGTGTTATATCTATGGGAAATAATCTAAGACATTTTACTTAATCTTCAGTTTCTCAGCATATAGAGGAAAATCCTAAAACATCCTCCTGCTATGAATATGTTAAACATCTCATTATCCCATACATTTTTACACTTTTTATAAATGCAAATTTTTATGAAGTTACAGAAACATTGCTTTCCGCCAAGACTAGGTAATTGATTCTACCCAAATATGTATTGGTATTGGGTGACTGCTAGTGATTTTCTTCCTTTTTTTTTTTTTAAGATTTATTTATTTATGCACACAAAAGCTGGGGCTGCTAGTGATTTTCTTTTCTTTCTTTCTTTTTTTAAAAAGATTTATTTATACAAGCACTGGGTACAGTCAGAAGTGCAGGAGGGTGAGAGAATTCACCAGAGCCAGAGCGGAGAACAGAACAGGCAGAGTGACAAAGTACACTGCTGAGGGGAGCAGCGGGTGGCAGTGGGTGGCAGGGGAGGTCTGCGCACCATGTGGAACCCTCCCCGGGCGGTCAGGGATCAAACCGGCGCTGCAGAGGCTGTGGGCAGCTTTACAACCCATCGCTCAACCGCTGCGCCACCAGGGAGGCCCTGCTAGTGATTTTCTTAAGTGGGTAGTGAAATCCTCTGTCCTCTGAAATCCACTGAAGGTAGCAGGTTGCCATCTGCATAGAGTCCAGTTCTTCAGCTGGTTTTCTGGGGTTCACAGGACCTCTCTAGTTTTGCCTCTAGCCAACTTCCTATTAACAACTTACTGCTCTTTCCAAACTCACCATGTTTATATACTATTATAATACAGACATGGGATCTTGGTTACGCGAACATAATTTTTATTCACAATAAAACCAAGAATGGGTCATAATCTATTCAATTTTCCCTTCTTTAGTCTATTGTGTAAACATAGGTCTATTTCCCACTTTGTGCAGGGAAAATAAACACTATAATGTTATTTAATGCTGTGTAATAAGAATTATCTGCACTTGGTTCCTCATACATAGAGTACCTATAAAGAGGATGTGATCAAAGTAGAGGTGGTAGGATGCATTTTTTCCCCTATAGATGGTTAATAGAGTAACCTTTTTGCTGCTCTATAGTTCTACCCAGAAGAAAAATCTATTTAAGAGTTACAATTGGATTCATTTTTTTCCAGAGACTTTTCATATTGGAGTGACCTTCTCTGACTTTTTTCCACCTGGTTTGTTCCTATTCTTTGTTATTCAACTCTCATATCACCTTTCCTTGTAAATCTTCTAGGTTTTCATAGGTTTAACAAACTTCACTGAAATGTCTATCTCAATAACTAGATCATTAGTCTTCAAAGTAGGGATGAATGTTTCTCTTCAAACCTAAATGTTTAGTGCTTAATACATACGGACAGATGTAAATGTTCACTTTTTTTAAAAAATGATTTGAATTGAATGAATTTCCATTTGCCTTAAATATGTTTTGTTCTATTTGGTACCATATTATGCAGGGGTTTGTAGATCAATAATCTTGATTTCACCATGTAATTACATTCTTTTTGCTTGAGTTCTTCTAAGGCACAAGGCTTCTCTTCTGAATCCCCCATGTATTATTTTTTTCCCTATGATTTCAATGTATACTAGAGACAGATAAAAATTTGAAAACTTTAATTCTTAATTCCGTCAAAATGGTGATGTCAGAGAGATCCAAATTTTTAGATGGTGATAGGAAACTTGAGCCTGGCTTTACAGGAGGTTAATCTTGTCTCCCTTCCTGTGTAGCAGCTGAGTGTGTGATACAGGCATACAAGTCAGTCAGCCCTCCAAATTCATCTGTTGATAGTTCATATGAAGGCTTTTGATAGAAAACCTACACTGTAGTACCAAAAATACAAATTTTGACAAATGATAAAACTGCTTTCCATATTCAGATAGGCATTTATTTCAGGATCTTCTCTTTCTAACTGGTTCCAGTTGTAGAGACCCAGGCAAGGGCTTTCTAGTCAGAAACATTCAAGTATGGAACTTTAGAGTCCTAACTCAGTTCAAGTAATATGTATGGAATACCTACAATGCTCAAAGTATTGTGAGACCATGAAGGGATTTCAGAGCTGATGGACAGAAAACTGTTCTTCACCTTCTCACCTCCAAAACTTCATGTATTTGCACGTCATCCTCCTGTAGGGGCCATGCTAATCCTCTCTGTATGATTCCAATTTTAGTATGTGCTACCCAAGTGAACACCATGTGTAGGGAAAGTGAAAATGACATTAGGCTTTTCTGCCCTCCTGCCATTAGGATTGATGATGGATCCCTGCAATCCTGAATGCATGCCTGATGGCGGGCACCTGGAGTAGGGTGTGGGCATATGTAGATGGGCTTCACCTGGGCTAAGACTGGGTTTATAAGGGCGGCGTCACGGGGATGCCAGCAGCGACCAAAACCACGAGAAGAACCACGAGAAAAGCAGAAGCAGAACTACGAGAGAAGCAGAGAGAATGTGAGAGAACGTTGGAGAGTCTAGATAGCGTGAAGACTTGCTGGGGGCTGGCCTGCCAGCCTCCCGGCCCCCCAGCGCCCCTGCCTGCTGTGTGCCTGGTAAATCCCAATAAAAGCCTGGAAAGCAACTGAGGGCTCCAGGACACCTCCTTCATCTGGTCTGCTCGAATCATAGAAAACCTGCACTCTGTCCCTTCCCGCTGCTACACCATGGTTCTATTTTTTATACCTAAACGATAATCCACAGCTATTGTTACTTTCAACAGTGGCTTGACTGGAAGTGAAATTTCGCTTTATGATTCCTTCCTATGATTTTTACAAACTATTTTAGTGTAACAAGAGGCAAAGTGAAGCAGGAGGTTGAATACTTCTGAAAATTTTGAAATAGTAATTATTTGATAATTGTTTAACATCCCCTTTTGTTTCACCAGTAGAAGCAAGTTCACTGCGAGCTGCAAAATCCATGACGCAAACCTTAACCCTAGATCATTTAGATTGAATAATTGGCAGTCATGCCATGTGTATAGTATTTTCACTATCATTTGCTCTTCTTTAATGGACGGCATTCATTTATTTAACAAGTACTTTACTGCACATACATGCCAGATATATTAACATACTCAAGATTATAGTGTTTAACCAAAACTGAAGCAAAATGCTGCTAGAAGCCTTTCACTATTTCATCTTCCCTTCACAGGTGCTAAAGGTCAAGTGAAAGTTGTCTTTCCTGTAAGGCTCTCCCCCTCCCCGCCTTAGTCCAGATTTATCCAAACCCAGAGATTTAGTTTTTCAGGGATTTCAGGAATGGCGAGCCACTGATGTTGCCATTTACCCTAGCAATGTGCCAGTCACCAATTCAGTTCATGAGAAAAATGTCTGCCTCATCTTTGGACTATTTTAACCCACTTACATAAAACAAACCTTTAACAAGTATTTGCAAACATGTGATAACAGGTGAGTTCATTCTAGTATGCAAACATTTCGGTACACAGTAAGACACTCCTGTGGTTCTTGTCTCCAAGCTGTCGCCACCTCCCAAATTTCCACGAGATAGTTAAAGTTCAGTCGACTTTTCAAGTCCAGCTCAAATAATCCTTCCTCTAGGAAACTATTTTCTCTCTTAAACCAATATAATTATCTGACTCCTCCATAGTACTTCCTAACTTCTGCTTGACACCACTTTTTACGTCACTTTCATTTTAGTGAACTAGGCGTATTTTAACCACTGTTTTTAAGGCCTTACGATCTCAAAGGGGACCGAAAAGGTGAAAAATCACCTTCTTCTGTACTAGTTGGTTTGCTTTTCCCTAACGCATCAAGGATGCTTCGCTGTAACGGTGGTTGAGGGTGCAAGGCTACATTCTGAGCACCTGTGCTGGCTTCCATCCTAATATAATCGGTCTCTTAAACTCATCCATGGAGAATGGTCTAACTTTCAGGCTGGAAAAATCGAGGGAGGAAAGCCCCCCGGAGCCAGCGCTCGGGGCCCCACGCCCCGCCCGCGCGCCGCGGGAGCAGCTGCCCGGGCGTCCCCGTCCCCGCTCTGCGGGCGAGGCCCGGCCGGCGGCAGCTGCAGAGCCGGCGTCTCCCCAGGCTCCTCGCCCCAACCCCGCTCCCCTCCCGCGCGGCGGCAGCTGCGGGGCTTCCCCGCGGAGACCGCGCTCCGAGTCGGCCGAGCGCGCGCCGAGGGCGGTCGAGGGAGGGGACTCTGCTCCCCTCAGCCCCGCCGGCTCGCGCGCGGCCGCCTCCGGCGCGTGGCGGTCCCTCAGGTGTCCTCCTCCGAGCCCAGAAGACACCTAGGCAACGCGGACGGGCGGGCGGCCGAGAGGCCCTCCCGTAACTTGACAACAGCAGGAGCGTCAGCGCCGCCGCCTCGGCTCGGGCCGCAGCGCCTTCCCAGGTGGGGGCGGCGGGCGGGGAAGGAGGCGCGCGCCCCGCCGGGCCGCACCTGGCGCCGCCCGGGCCTCCGGGGCCGCCCGCGCGCCCCCACCCCGCGCGGGGCCTCCGCCTGCGCGCCCGCCCGCCCCGCGCCCCGCGCACGCGCACCGGGGCCCTCGGGCTGTCATGGCGGCGGGGAGCGGCTTCCGTGGGCACCCGGGGCGCCGCGCGAGCCGCGGCGGGGCGGGCGGGGGCGGGAGCATCCTCCCCGGCTGCGGTCGCCTCGGCCGCGGCGTCCCCGGGGCCCGTGCGCGCAGCGGCTGAGCGCCGCGGGGGGCCCCGGCCGGGGAAACGGGGCGGCTGCGGCCAGGTGCACGGACCGCCCCCCGCCCCCCGCGCCCGCCTCCCGCCTCCCGCCGCCCCACACACCTTCCCTGCGCGCCCGTCGAGCCTCAGGTGCCCGGGGCCGCGGCACTCCTCCCCCTGGGCCGCGCGCCGAGAGCAATCGCCGCCCCCTGCCCCCGCCTTTTCCTGCCCTGGATCTCCGCCGCCGTCGCGCGGCTCCCCGGCGGGGTGAGGACGCCCGAGGGGCCGGGTGAGGGGCGCCTTCTGCCGCCCCGCGAGCTCGGGCCCTCCCTGCCCGACCCCTCCCCGGCCGCCCGCGGCCGCGCTCCCCGCGCACCTGCGAGGCGAGGCGGCCGCGCGCCGGGAACCTGCGCCCGTGGGGGAGGAGGGACCTGCGCCCGGGCCCTCGAGCCCGCCGCGCCGAGCCGGCCTCCGAGCCCGGGAGAGCGGGTCGCGGGGCGTCGGGAGCCCTCGGGAACTCACTTGACGGACAGTAACTGCTCCCCGCGCCCCTCAGCCCCCACCCCCCGCAACCCTAACCTATTTAACATAGATCTAATCTTCCAATAGGGTTTGGCGTTGTTGTCAGCCTCGGGGAGAGAGATTGGACAAGTGTTCTCCACGAGGAAGAGGGCGACGCCAAGGACTTTCCACAGCAACTGCTTTTGGGGTGTCTCCACAACTTGGAAGTGACCTTCGTGGTGCGTGGCCGGAGGTGTGCTCGGTGCTCGTGCAGCGGCTGCTGTCCCGGAGCGACTCCGAGCTGTCCTTCCTCCCGAGCTGGCAATGGCTAGCGAAAACAAGAATGTCCCTTCCCCGCCACCAACAGGTGATGACGGGGGAGGTGGAGGGAAAGCAGAAGAAACCCTTGCAGAAGGGGGTGCACTGTCCCTGAAACCAGGACTCCCCATCAGGGGCATTCGAATGAAATTCGCCGTGTTGACCGGGCTGGTGGAAGTTGGAGAAGTATCCAACAGGGACATCGTGGAAACTGTCTTTAACCTGGTAGGTAGATAATTTTATCAGCATTTATTCTCACCGGGTTGGGGCACTAGACATTGAAGCTGGAGCCAGATGCTTTCCTCAGACTGTGTGATGATGGCTTTTTCCATGGATAGAAACACGAAATTCCGCTGACCTACATGAAGCGATTTCGTGTATGTTTCAGTTTAATGGCATTATGTAAACTTACACGCTCCAGGTTTTGTGAAAGTGAATAGCTCTCTTGTGCTAAGGAAGGAAATTGTTGTTGCCATGGGTGTATTTTGGGGAGTTCCAGTGGAGGGGTTTTTTATTCTAGAAAAACTTTTCTCTCCCTTGGAATGTATTGCGAACTTTGCATTTCTCTTTAACATTTAAAAAAAGTTCTCCTGGCCTTTTATTGTACTTGAGAAGTAACGTGCATGGGTAGTCCTGCCTACTCTTTTGAGTCTGATCTAAGTTTTGAACACAGTTCTTGTTCATAGGACTGATGAAAGAGGAATTTGCACAGTCAGTATTTATTTTTAATTTTGACGAGTTTTTACATATAAGTATCAAAAGTTAAATTTTGGAATGACTTTAGGGTTACATGTGAAAATTGAAGGGCATTTTGAAAGGAGGATTGTGGCAGATATGTCTATATTTTGTCTTGAAGGAAAGTATATTTGGTCACTGGAAGTTGCTGGTTATACTACGATGGGCTGTGAATATTGTTTTTAAAAGATGGATATGCAGTACTTTCCTTTTTTTTTAGTTACATTCTTTGAAATAGCTATCATTTTTTTTTTAAAGATTTATTTATTTATTTATTTATTTATTTATACAAGCACTGGGTACAGTCAGAAGCGCGGGAGGGTGAGAGAATTCACCAGAGCGGGGAGCAGAGCAGGCAGAAGGACCGAAGTACACTGCTGAGGGGAGCAGCGGGCGGCAGGAGAGGTCTGCGCGCCATGGCCCAGCGCTCAACCGCTGCGCCACTGGGGGAGGCCCTCTTTATTTTATTTATTTATTTTTTTAAGATTTATTTATGCATACAAGAGCTGAGGTACAAGCCAGAGATGCGGGGGGTGAGAGGATTCACCAGAGAGAGCGGGGAACAGAACAGGCAGAGTGACTGAAATACACTGCTGAGGGGAGCAGTGGGTGAGACAGGAGAAGTCTGCTGTGCCATGTGGGTTGCTCCCTGGTGGGCTGGGGATTGCTTCATAGTGCGGTGATTAACCCCTTGTGCCACCAGAGAGGCCTGAAATAGCAATCATTTCTAATGGGAACGTTTTAGATTTATTTATTCTAACCTCTTGCTCATCAACTCTAAGAGTAAAAGCTAAATTTGGCTCACCTGCTCACCTGATTTAGACAATAACACATGGGAACAAGTAAGATGGCAGTAGTTGTAATAACTGTGTAGTACCCCTTCTCCTTTGCCTCTAAGTTTTCAAGTGTAAGCTTGTTTTGTTCAAAGACAGCTCATTATTTCTTTCACTAGACCTTTATAAATATTCTGGTCACCTGCAGATGTATCTAAAAGATATATACAGCTTATATAGTGAGAAAGTAGCTAGATGAATTTCACTTGCTTTTGAAGGATGAAACTTTCAACAATAGGTTATTTCTCTGCCAGTTTTGTGTTTTGGGAGGTTATATATAAACACCTACAAATACACATATAACACATGTTTTTTGAGGAAATGTTCAAATATACACAAAAATAGAGAAGTATAATGAGCTCTGGTCTCTATCATCCAGCGCTCAACCGCTGCACCACCGGGGAGGCCCCTCTTGTATTTTATTGTTAAGAAAAAACCAAATTCTATAGTAGTAGTTTGCTTATATGCTACCTGGAGCCGTATGCCTGGTAGAAATTTTAAGGTTATTGGTCAAATCATTCACAGCTGCATGTTTTCAGGGTAATGGTTGTGTGGTTTAAGGACAGGGAAATCTGTTCATTTACACCACCTGCTCTTCCTTATTTCGTTTCTGATGTGTAAAGAGGAATAGATTAGTTACTCTCTTTCCATTACTTCCCATGCTCCTTTGCGAATATCTGGGGTCTTGCCTTAGTCTTAATTCTACTGAAAGAAGGAAATTATATATATATTTTAAAGATTTATTTATTTATGCATATAAGAACTGGGCCACAGGCCAGAGGTGTGGCGGGAGAAAGGATTCACCAGAGACAGAGTGGGGAACAGAACAGGCAGATTGACTGAAATACACTGCTGAGGGGAGCAGCAGGCGAGACAGGAGAGGTCTGCTGTGCCATTTGGGTAGCTCTCTGGCCTGGGATTGAACTCATGCTGTAGTGGCTGTGGATAGCTTCATAGGTTGCATCGTAACCCCTTGCGCCACCAGGGAGGTCCTGGAAATTATATTAACTGGTAAGTGATGTTAGAAAAATTACTAGTATCTACTAGCTTCTACTGTCTAGCAGTGGGCTAGATGCTTTACACGTTTTTAATTCTTCTCTCAATAACATACATATATCTCATTTTATAGATGAGGAAACAGAGACAGTGGAAGGTTAAGTAGATTGCCTACAATTGGGTGGTTCTTAGAATGTCAGTCTTTCCAGGATTACATCATTTTTTTTGAATTGGTGTAGAATTGTTTGCCTCCCTAAGCAGGTATTTATAGTTTAGGCATAGCTTTCCCCTATGTAAGGACACAAAAATTCTTGGTTCCACTAAATATTAATGGTGCAACTTCCATCAGTAGATTTTATTTCTTTTTATTTAACACTCAGATAACTTTCAAAGAACTGCTTAAAAAAGACAGAAATTGAAAAACGTTTTCCAGGTCATTTGGTCAGTTTTATCTCACTCAAAATGTGGATGCAGAAACTTGATAATTAAGTTTTTTTAAGAGGTAGTATATTGGGTTAATGAAGACATTTTTAAACATACAGTATTTATTATTACCAAGAGAAACTGTTCCTTAGCCCAAACATTCACCTTTAGGAACACATGTCAGTGATAAACTTCGATGGAAGTCAAGGCAAAGAAATCCTTTCGTACCAAAATCACAGCATTATGAAAAATACTAACCTTTCTTATTTCCACCAAATCTTTCAGGAAATCATAATTTCTGTAAAAATCAGTGTGTCCCTTCTTTCTTGGTTCAGCCTTAGCAGATTTCCAGAAAGCTGCAACACCTGGGGATAAAATCATTGCTCCAACAATATGAAATCATGGACACTTGGCCAGAAGGCCTTGCATCTGAGGTTCCATCAAAGCCGTAGAAGCCATAAATTCTCCTTAACCCAGAAATCCTCCACACTCTGTATGCAGGTTTTTAAACTGTGCAAAATAGGATACAGACTAAAGAATATGTGACTTGTGTGAGCAGTGAAATCTTACAAAAATATCAGTCCTGTGAACCTTCCATCTGACTTAAGGAACTAGTGTGTTGTCACTTAATCCTCAGGTGTGCTCCCCCTTTATCCTGTGCAGTAGATTTTCATCAGTTCATTATTTGTAGCAGTCATAACTTCCTCCTATTTTTTTTTTTTTAGGCATTTGATTAAAATATTGGGCTGTTGGAAAAGTCATGACTGTTTTATGTTTGAAAAACAGAAAAAATGCATTATGACTTTTCTGACCCTATGCATTGTTTTGATTCTTTTTGTTACTGATTACGTATCAACTACTTTAAACAATGAAGTTTATACTATTAAAATTAAGTTCCCCTTGTCCCAGAGTTGTGTCCAAAATAGTAATTGGTAAAGCCACCATATAACTCCGGAGGTCTTTCCTTGCTTTGCTAATGTAGTTTGACCTTTCTCTGTTATGAATTCCACCCTTCCTATAATTTCTCTTGCAAATCTGTTTTATAGTTCAGTTTTGAATAATAATACAGCTGTATATGCAAGTGTTTCAAACTTTCAACTTTTACATATTTCTTGTTGCAATTTACAATCATTTTATTTTGTCTTCATCTGTGCTAAGGTAATTTGTCACATTCTTGGACCCAAAATAATTAACGTGTTGACATTTTCGGGCACTTGATGCTAAGTTTAAGGCTTCCATCAGTTATTTAGAGGTATTCAATGCTATTAAACACTGGAATAGTGTTTACCATGGACTGGTGATAAATATATGTATTAATGAAACTTTTTTTTGTTTAAAAGGTAACTGGTTTTAATTAAAATGCTAAAGCTAAAAGATAAATTTTCATTACTTGTTATATAGTCTTTGATACATAGGTCCTGCTAAAAAGTAATTGTGCAAACTCCTAGTACAGGAGCTGAGGAGATCACACAAAAGCCGTTTGTACTGACTGCGTGGAGAGTGTGCTTGTAAACGTAAATGGGCAGTGGCTATTCCTGTCTAGTTGATTATTGTCCTGCAATAACGTGGATCCAATGGTGTCATGTCTTTTGATCTTTCAGGAAGAATTCAAATCTAGATTTAAAAAGACATTTTAAAATACCAAGTAAAAATAAAAAAATAATACAATATGGGACACATAAAATCACAGGTAGTTACTGTGATTTTAATCTTTCATGAATGATTACATGAATGACGATAATCATTCAGCATGCTTTTTATTCTGATGTATATATCTAGAATTATTTCTTTCTTGTTATCTGCTTTCAGAAATTTAAGGGTTAAGAGTACTTCATTTTAGAGACATGCTTGTTAATGGACTTCCCCCAGTTCAATTTGTATTTCATGTTGAATAGAAAACTTGAACTAGTTTAAACGCAATAAAAAGACTCACTTATTTGGAAGTCCAAAGTAGGGTAAGACTTTTAGTAACAAAATAATGGTAAAGATTTCTTTTTCTATGATGTGAACTTCAATTTGTTGATGTTTTCCTCATGGTTGTAGTGTGACTTCCAGGGGCATTTGGGGCCATATATATTCTTATTCACAGCTCTTGGGAGAGAGAACCTCTCTGTCCTAACAATTCTAACAAGAGTCCACTAAACTGAAAACTGTGACTGTTGAAATGTTGTGATTGGTACTTGCTGTTATAACCTAAAAATAGGGACAGTTTTCTCAAACGTCTTTGTCTGTATGGGG